GAGGCGGAAGCGCTCCCGACGGCCGCTAGTACGCCTGCGCAAGGGCCGGCCCCGCCGCTCGGCTTCGAGTACTTTGGGCGATTGCCTTTGGTACATGCGCAATGAGGCAAGTGAAGCACCGCGAGTGTCGGGTGGTCGGTCCGGCCCTACCCATTGAATCTTTCTCTGCTGTGGCTGAGTCGAAGTGAGTTCGGGAAGCCAGTGCGCGAATGCTCAATCTTGCGGTATCAGGGAGTGCCAGAGAGGGGAGCTCAAGAAGAGGATGTCCTTTCGAGGTGGCAGGGATTTTCTGGAGGAGGGCGTATTTTGACGAGTTTTAAAATTCCTGCACCTTTAAACATATTTATCTTGTTGCTAGTTGTTGTCCACCCCCGTTAATTAAAATATAAGCCCCATAGACTTAGGGATATTGTTTTTTTTCACTAAATGCCTCGTAAGCTTCCTGAACTGTGCTTGGCACAAAGTAGGGTATGAGGCCGAGCGCAGTGGCTCATGCTTGTAATCCCAGCCCTTTGGGAGGCCGAAGTGGGCGGATCACCCGAGGTCGGGAGTTCCAGACCAGCCTGGCCAACATGGTGAAATCCCGTCTCTACTAAAAATTTAAAAGATTAGCTGGGTGTGGTGGCGCGTGCCTGTAATCCCAGCTACTCGGGAGGCTGAGGCAGGAGAATCGCTTGAACCCGGGAGGCGGAGGTTGCAGTGAGCCGAGATCATGCCACTGCACTCCAGCTTGGGCGACAGAGCAAGACTCCATCTCAGAAAAAAGTACGGGATGAAAATATGCTTGTTGAATTTTTTTGTTTGTTTTAACTTTTTCCGGGGGGACGGGCTCCATATATATATGGTCTAGGCTGGTCTTGAACTCCTGGGTTCAAGCGATCTTCCCGCCTCGGCCTCCCAAAGTAGTAGCATTCAGGCAAGAGCTACTGCGCCTGGCCATGGCTATTGAATTTCTTCAGCTAACCCTCCTAGTGTGCTGTTGTGTACCTCTGAGTGCCCAGAAAGGCCTCCAATCGAGTTCTTGCCTGGACAGAGGGCTGGAAGGGGAAGAAGGCCTGGTGGACCCGGGGAGGCAGGGCCACTTCTGAGAGTGGGACATTTCAGTGAGGTGTGTAAGCACAGTTCAGCTCACACAGGTAGTGGATTTTAAAATCAGTAGCAAATTAAGAAAACGATTCCATTTACCATAGCATCATAAAGAATAAAGCAGGAATAAATTTAATGAAAGAAGTACAAGACCTTGTTCATTGAGAGCTGTAGCTGGGCTTGGTGGCTCACACCTGTAATCCCAGCACTTTGGGAAGCCAAGGCTGGACCTGGTGGCAGCTGCCTGTGGTCCCAGCTACTTGGGAGGCTGTGGTGGGAGGATCACTTGAGCCCAGGAGGCTAAGGCTGCAGTGAGCTGTGTTCCTGCCACTCCACTCCAGCCTGGGCAATAGAGTGAGACCCTGTCTCAGAACAAGCAAAATAACTAAAACTTTGCTGAAAAAAATATTAAAGATGATCTAAATAAATGGTAAGACTTTCACGTTCATGGATTGGAAAGCATAATATTGTTAAGATAGCAGTACTCCACAAATTGGTCTACAGATGCAATGTAATCCCTTTCAAATTTACAGTGTTTTTGTTGAAATTGACAAATTGATCCTAAAATCCATAATAAATTGCAAATGGCCCCCAAATAGCCAAAACAATTTTGAATAGGAGGACTCATACTTTCTCATTTCAAACTTAATAAAAAAGTACAGTAATCAGAACAGTGTGGTATTGGCATAAGGATAGACATACAAATAAATGATTGGAACTGATGCAGAAATAAACCCATACATATATGGTCAACTCATCTTTGGCAACTGTGCCAGGACTATTCAAAAAGAAAGGAGGGCTGGGTGTGGTGGCTCACACCTGTAATTCCAGCACTTTGGGAGGCTGAGGTGGGCGGATCACCTGAGGTCGGGAGTTCAAGACCAGCCTGACCAACATGGAGAAACACCGTCTCTACTAAAAATACAAAAAATTAGCCCAGCGTGGCGGCGCGTGCCTGCAATCCCAGCTACTCGGGAGGCTGAGGCAGGAGAATGGCTTGAACCTGGGAGGCGGAGGCTGCAGTGAGTGAGATCACGCCACTGTACTCCAGCCTGGGCAACAGAGCAAGACCATCTCAAAAAAAAAAAAAAAAAAAAAAAAAAGCACTTGCCCACCTGCACGCAAGGGTCACCCACTCAGTGCCCTCTCCCAGCAAAAGCTCTGTCACCTCCTGTCCCGAGATAGAGAAAACAGGAGGCCAACATTATGACACGGGGAGGGGGACAGTAGAGGTGAGTCAGTTGAGAGTACAGTAGTCCCCGCTTAGTCAAAAGTTTCTTTCTGAGGTTTCCACAGTTCAAACATATTACATGGAAAATTCCAGAAATAAGCAATTCATAAGTTTTAAATTGCGTGCTATTCTGAGGAGCATGATGAAATCTTGGACTGCCTTGCTCCGTCCCTCTCTGTCGTGCCCAGGGTCATGAATCACCCCTTTGTCCAGCAGATCCATGCTGGAGACACCAATCCCTCCACGCCCACTCATTTGTCACTTAGTAGCCTCCTGGTTATGAGATCCAAAAACCAGTATAAATTGGGCACGGTGACTCACACCTGTTATCCCAGCACTTTGGGAGGCCAAGGCAGGAGGATGGCTTGAGCCCAGGAGTTATAGACCACTCTGGGCAATACAGTGGGACCTCATCTCTGCAGACAAATCAAAAAATTAGCTGGGCGTGATGGTGCACATCTGTAGTCTCAGCCATGCAGGAGGCTGATGGATGATTGAGTGTGGGAGGTCAAGGCTGCAGTGAGCCATGATCATGCCACTGTACTCCAGTCTGGGCAACAGAATAAGACCTTGTCTTAAAAATAAATAAATTAGGCCGGGCGCGGTGGCTGACGCCTGTAATTCCAACACTTTGGGAGGCCGAGGCGGGCGGATCACGAGGTCAGGAGATTGAGACTCATCTTGGCTAACACAGTGAAACCCTGTCTCTACTAAAAATACAAAAAATTAACCGGGCGCCTGTAGTCCCAGCTACTCGGGAGGCTGAGACAGGAGAATGGCGTGAACCCAGGAGGCGGAGCTTGCAGTGAGCCGAGATCGTGCCACTGCACTCCAGCCTGGGAGACAGCAGGACTCCGTCTCAAAAATAAATAAATTAATTAATTAAATTAAAATTAGAAAGGGAGGAAAGGATGAAGGAAAGAAAAGAGGAAAGGAGGGAGGGAGGAAGGGAAAGAAAAAGAGAAGGAAAGGAAGAAAGAAAAGAAACGAAACATATTTAGGGCTCAGTATTATGGTCAGTTTCAGGCATCGATTTGGGGTCTTGGAACATATCCCCTAGGGATTGGGAGGAATACTATATAGACTCCTGAGCTTGGAGTCCTGGGTTCGAATCCCAGCTCAGATGGCCACCCCAGCAGGCCTAGCGACTTTCACCCAGAGCTCTCACAGCAGCTGGCCTGTACACGGAAGGACACTCCCAGGGCAGCCACAGGTGCCAGGACACACCGTGATCGGAGCCATCCTGCAACACCTGCAGGAACTCACAGGCAGATTGGCCATCCCTCCCCTGCAACCACACAGGCCAGCGCAGGCCTGTGAGGCCCACACCCTGCAGGGAGGTGCCTCCCCCTCGGCAGGCCAGCGAGGGGGCCAAGCCGAGGGCCCCTGCCCCAAGGTCCCCTTGGTCTTGCAGAGGGGGCCGCATGGGACGAGGTCCCACCTTCTTTTTTTTTTTTTGAGACATAGTCTCGCTCTGTCACCAGGAACTCACAGGCAGATTGGCCATCCCTCCCCTGCAACCGCTCACTGCAACCTCCACCTCCTGGGCTTAAGCAGTTCTCCTGCCTCAGCCTCCGGGGTTGCTGGGATTACAGGTGCGCACCACCACGCCTGGCTATCTTTTGTATTTCCTTCCTTTCTCCCTTTCTCCCATACCACCACGCCTGACTCCTTTTTGTATTTCTTTCCTCCCTCCCTCTTTCCCTCCTTCCCTCTCTCTCTCTTTCTATTTTGAACCAGAGTCTCGCTCTGCCACCCAGGCTAGAGTGTACTGCAACCTCTGCCTCCTGGGTTCCAGCGATTCTCCTGCCTCAGCCTCCCGAGTAGCTGGGATGACAAGTGTGAGCCACCAAGCCCAGCTAATCTTTTTTTTTTTTTTGTATTTTTAGTAGAGACAGGGTTTCACCATGTTGGCTGGTCTTGAACTCCTGGGCTCAAGTGATTCACCCACCTCGGCCTCCCAAAGTGCTGGGATTACAGGCATGAGCCACTATGCCCGGCCGGCCGAGTCCTGCCTTCTGAAACTCAGCAAGAGTTCTGTGCCACGTGGGGACACTCAGTGAATGGGCTCCCAGCAGGCACCAGATGGTCTTCAGGTTTATTTCTTCAATCAATTAGGAAATAAAGCCACAGTGCCCAGGAAAGTTCGCATGAGGCGCCATGGTGTCTCTTGCCATGGCCCCACCACTCCAGGGGCCAGGGGGCGCTGCTGGAGGGAGGACAGATGGACAGGCCGCCTGGGTGGCCGGCCCCAGAAAGGCTGGCATGGGTGTCCGAGATGAGCCACTAGCGAGGCCAGTAGGGATGTCTGGGCCGTCCTGGTGGGATTGTCTGGAACATCGCCACCAACACAGTGTCAGAGCCATCAGTGGGGACACTGGAGGGGCCACCGTGATGTGGGAGATATTTAACAGGCTAGAACCCCTGAGGCTTGAGAGGCCAGTCCCTGGCAGGAGACCTCCGCTGACCCCTCTGCTGCCTCTCCTATGGGATCCTCCGGTAGCCACAGCAGATGAGGACACCCAGGAGGCCTCCTCCCAGGACAGGAAGCAGCCAGCTGAGCAGCCACGCAGTGCAGGGTTCAGGGACCTCCAGCAGGAGCTCCATGGAGATGGCTAAATGGGGACATCAAGGCAGGGGCTGACAGTGGCGACATCCAAGCGGTCACAGTCAATTCCGGAAGCTTTCAGGGCATCAGGAGGGGAAGGTGGGACTGGGGAAATGTGACAGGAAGAGGGAAGTGCAAAAGGCAATTGGCCTAGCCTGGGAGATGTTTCCAGTTGGCCTGGGGAACCCCAGCTCCTCCATTCAGCAGGGAGGGTGGAGGGCCTGCTGGGAAGTCACATGGAGCTGCAGCATCTGGAACCCAACAGCCGCAGGAGGCCTGGACCGGGGCTCTGTAAGGCACAGCCGAGAGGGAGGTGGGGAGGCCCCAGTCTGAGTCCAGGGCCCAGGGGAGATAATTCATGCAGCCCCCAAGAGCAGCTGGGCCCTGCACAAGACGCAGCTCCCAGGACTCTCGGCAGGAGAAGAGAGGAAAAAGGAAAGGCTGGGCCCGGTGGCTCACGCCTGTAATCCCAGCACTCTGGGAGGCCGAAGCCAGCGGATCACCTGAGGTCAGGAGTTCAAGACCAGCCTGACCAACATGGTGAAACCCCGTCTCTACTAAAAATATAAAAATTAGCTGGATGTGGTGGTGGGTGCCCGTAATCCCAGCTCTCAGGAGGCTCAGGTGGGAGGATCACTTGAATCCAGAGGCAGAGGTTGCAGTGAGCCGAGATCCCACCACTGCGCT